AGACCAAATAAACCAAGAAATACAAGAAATACTACTATTCTAACTCCTAATAAAAGACAAAAGACAAACTGGTTCAATAGCCTGCACTCTGCGTTTTATCTTCAAATTTACTAACTTTCCTAACTCATACTTTGATGATAACTGCTCTCCTCTTCTAGATATACTATAGGGATTGCATGAATCAATTAGGGATTTATTCTCCATTACTACATACTTAGAGCTTAAGAATTTATCTCGATATAAGGCCAAATTTCAAACTCTTTATATATTCAGAAGAATACCTGATACATACTTTGAACTACCTAGACCTAAGCCACGACTCTCCTGTACTCTACAAGAACTCACACCACGTCTGCATAAGATATTTCCATTTCTACTATGCAATGCGAAAGACTTCAGAAGTCATATAAAATTACTAAAAGAAAGTTATTTATTCAACTGATTGCCAAATAACTTTATTATCCAAAAGCGTCACTTATCTGAAGATCCAAACAAGCTACAACTACTAAATAAATACCAATTCTCTATAGATAACAAACACACAGCACATGCATTTATAAATGAAATTCCTCCAACATATACAATTCTAGCAGCATTTTCACCAGCCTATATATCTATTAATCCTACAGAAAAGCCCGACCTACTATAGGATTACAAACAAGTGGAATTAGTAAATCTTACTATTTCTATCACAACACCTCAATAATTATCAATTGCAGTTAAAGATCTTCGAGCATACTACTACTTTCAAAACATTCCAGACAGCTGGATCAATATCAAAAAACATAAAAACAAAGATAATGAATCTAAAGATAATATTCTTACAACACTACTATCAACAATCGACCAATTTAATAACCTGCTTGCCTCAAAGATTTCTAATAACAAGCTTATATTTCCTATTACTAATCATGATAAAGTAGGAGATGCAATGAAACTGATTAGTGAAAACTTTACATATATTAACATCCCAACATACATCTTCAACCTTCCAGATCTTCCAGAACCAACTTGGAACATTTTTGCCACACCAACTAACAACATCAAACACACTGATAAAGATATGGAAATAACTCCTAATTCAAACAACAATGAATAATAAAACTATAGCTGAAAACTCTAACTTATACCCAATCTCTACTAATAATTTACCACCAACAAGCCACCAACAAAATATGCACCAAACAACTAATACACTTCATCAAAATACAATAACAGATAACATTCCAAACATTAAAGAAAAATTAATTTTGCAACTTACAATATCAGAGAATTCAATAACTAAATCAAATGCCAACAATGGATCACATACTGCTTGCAAAATAACCTCCATATTATCTCTATCACTAAAACAAAACTAAAAGAATCCTCCTAACTATCACTAACTAACCCTATCTACAAAATCTTCACTTCCAATTATATTCTAGTCTCGAATCAATAGCGAGACTTAAGCCTTGGAACAGTATTGATGATATATAATATAGTATAACCATATATATACAATATCATTACCTTCCCAGAGACAGCTCTTTGTTTAGATTTCTTCTTTCCAAACAACAAAACTCATATAATCTCAGTATACCTTCCATCAAACAACTCTGATCTATCAAACTGAACTCAGACTCAAGTAGCACTTTGGTCTATAGAGGTAAAAAATAAAAACTAGCATACTATTATACTAGGCGATTTTAACTTAAATAATTTTACTAAAAAAGGATGAAGAATATAATTTTCACAGATCTCTCAACAAACAACTTCACTAGTTTGCTCAACTTCTATAACATTTCAACTCCTACCTGGCACTGAAATGACTCTTATTCTCAGATAAATGATATATAGGTCTCATCTGATATTTTATTAGATATTGAAACTCCAACTCTTACTAAAGCTACAGGAATCACTAAAAGTGATCATATAATCATATCAACGATCTGAAATACAAACTTCATACTATCAAGAATAAGAAACAAAAAAAGAAAACAGAAAATATATCTATATAACAAAATGACAAAGGAAAACTGAGAAGAATTCTCTAACAAAATTTACCAAATACTAACGCCATTACTAAAAGACAAAAATATCTCTAACATCAAATCACTAAACAACTATTAGAATATCTGGTCTTCTAACATTACTAAAGTTGCTAATCAACTGATTCCAATTACACATACCATATCTAAACAATACTTTGCACTTTCCTTAAAAGCATCAAAACTCCACTCTGCCTTAAAATATATTAACAAGTATCATCATATTCTAACTTCTAGTCTACCTCCTCTCTTTACAAAATTTCTTTGTACTACTTTAAATAAATATCTTGCTAAAGCAACCTCTTTAGCAGAAATCCCAGACCTAACTCTAAACCAACAATCACTAGGCTCTAAAATTATGGATAACACACAATACTCCTCCTATCACCACACAATAACAACAATCAAAAATCTTAAAAATACAATTTGGAAAAGTAGAAATGTAGAAAAGAATCTTGAGCAATTTGAACGAATCAAATACTATGTACACCGCAGATATACAGACTTCAAAGATAATATAAGCCGAATGATCAATAGTATACTAAAACAACAAAAAGACTGTATAAGTTTTGAAAAGATAATAACTCATGACTCATTGATCACAGAACCCCAACAAATCAAAGAAGCAATGCGCACTCACTTCCAAAACTAGACAAAATCAAATTCTACAAATGATACTCTCTGGGAAGAATGAGAGAGATATTATACCCCTATAAAGAAAATTAATTCTAGTGCATATGATCTACTAATCCAAACTATTACCATAGAAGAACTTCTCTCTACAATAAGGGATGCACCAAAACAAAAAGCAACTGAACCCCTAATGATCTCTAATGAAATGCTTCAACACCTTTCTCTATCAGCACTTACACATCTTCTCAAGATATTTAATGCATGCCTTCTACTTGAACAACTCCCCAAACAATAGCTAAATTCAAACATATGGTCTATCTCAAAAAAAATACAATATACTTTCAAGCTAAATACAACAAGACCCATCATACTAATTGATCATATTAGGAAAATATTTACTAAAATTATCACCAATAGGCTATCAAATATTCTTGACAGATACGATATCCTCTCTCCACTAAATTATGTAGCATTCCTATGACAATTGACTCTTCAACTAATATCCCAACTTACATCTATAATTGAATATGCTTATACAAAACAGGAAGAAGTTTGGCTCTTACTACAGGATATGTCAAAGGCATTTGACTCAATTCACATACTCACACTCATCAAAGCTTTATACAGAATCCAAATTCCTAAATCTACAGTTAATCTCTTAATATTCTTACTCTCTAATCGTACTAATTAAGTAATCACAGACTTTGGACTGACGAAACTATACCCAGTATATGACGGAATTGATCAAGGAGAAACCTTTTTCCCACTTCTATAGAAGATTTACTATGACCCACTAATATCTTGTATATACAAGGAACATTTAGGATACTAAGGAATAATCCCATTAATGCCTACAACAAAACTGATACATACCTCAATTATAGCATATATGGATGACTTACTCTGGGTAGCACACTCAAAGGATTCTTTTCAGAAGATCCTTTTGACAGCAAATTCTTTCTATAAATTTGCTAGAATCAAAGTCAACCTATCAAAATCAATACTTGCTACAAACTCCATTTCTGACAACAAAGATATTATTTTTAATGAAGAAAATATAAGTGCGATTGACAAATCCAAACTATTTAAATATTTGAGAGCTTGGTTTTCCTTTACTTCTAATCCAACAAATAACCAAAAAATGATAATCTCTGAAGCTAATTTCTGCATTACCAAATTACAAAAATCACATATTACCGAGAAACAAGCAATATACATTATCAATAATATTATAATACCTCAGATCTCATATCGACTTAATAGTTCTTTTCTTTCTACCTCACAACTAGCCATACTTAATCGCTTAAATATAAATATAGTAAAACAAAAAGCAAGACTATCACATAGCCTTCCCAACTCTTTTCTTCACTACCCAGAGATTTATGCATTGAAAGATATAATACAAGTTCAAGAATCATATCTATTCACTACACTCCTACAGAACCTAAATCACCCAAACTTTGATTCATCATTTCTTAAAATTCGATTACAACAACTACAAGACTCTACTGTATCAAACCTTTTGATACTTACACACCTCCCACTATTACCAAAAAAACAAAAAGATACCTATACAAGACAATTAATCTTTGCGATTCACTCTCTACATATCCAGTTTCTAAAGAATAAAGAAATAAACTAGCCAATTTCTCTTAAAACCAAAGGCACACCTATTAACGAAATATTAACAAACCACCCTCAGGCACATATATTGAAACAACAGCTGAATAAGCACTCTATATATTATATTGAACAATTTCTTAACTATAATAATTCAGAACTCCTTAATTGGCAAGAATTTCACCATAATATACTCAAAATACTGAGAGAACAAATACCAAAGTGGTTCACAGAAATACAAGAGCTAATTAGATCAACAGCAAATCCTACAACTTCACTTGTCTATTCTAACTCATTTACTTTAATGAAATGGGTATCTAAGAAAAAATCTTGGGTCCTCACTCATGACTTTCTACTAAGACATACTAATCACTTTAACAACTACTATACGACTATTCACCACTATACTCGCTTAATTAATAATATACTTATCCCATGCCCAGGATGCATAAAAAAAGATTCAACATCTAAAACAAAAGGATGCTACTTTAAACACAAGATTGAAAAACTCTATACTATACAAGTAGACTCATACAAAAAACTACATGCTAACTTCAACAATCTAACTTTAGTTAAACCTATCGTTATCACAACTGAAAAAAAAATACTACTGCCTCCTACTAAACTTAGTCATTCACTAAATGCATTTTTCTCATTTAATATCAACTAGTAGAATACTCTGTCAGCAAACAATTCCTCTACATGTGTTTCCTCAATCTACATATCTTCATCTTCTAATTCACTATACTGTAACAACAAACTAATAGCAATTGCTTCTCTTAACCACAATATAACAACATGGAGCTATTACAACAGTAGCTGGCCTGATAGCTCTCAAGCATGCCTCATCTTATTTGCTTTTCTAGCAACAATATTTCTTCCAAATACAAATATCTCAATTACCTCAAATAATTCTTCTTTTATTCAGATATTAGAAAATACTGCAAAACTACTGATACACACACTAGCATCACTAGACAAATCATATTATGCTTTAATTCTGTTCACAATTAAAGTGATAATATCTCCACTCAACCTTTCCTTTAACATCGACAAAGAATTTAAATATATTGAAAAACCTGACAATTTCATGGAGCTCAATATAAAACCTCAAGAATTTCTATTCAACTGATTCATTCTATATCTACTATTATCTCCTTGTATATACCACCTTCATACTATTACAAAAGACAACTTTAGAATCACTAATTGTCTAAAATGTGCAAATTAAAATCGAATCAAATATTGGACTATTAACATCAGAGATATCTAATGGCCTAGTACACTAAAATATTTATCATTTGAAGAAAAGCTACTATCTCTACAGACTAATCCTGCATACTCTAAACTAAAAAACTTTAAAGTCAAATTATTAGCAGAAGAACTTCCTAATTATCTCACTCTATATTACTGAAACTTATCAAAACACAAAAACTATTTTTGTTCCCAGTGCTCTAAAGAACCTGAAAACAATGTACACTTAATTTCCTGCATCTGAAACTCAACATCAATAGACTCTCTTATCCAAGACACTATATTAATAACATCTCAAGAACTGGATCTAATAGTAACAAACACTTTTGAATTTATTTCAGCATTCAAATACCTCCATATTTAACAAGAAATTCTCCTAGGAATAATTACTTCTGCAACTCTAGCTCCATTTGTCAAATACTCAGACAAAATTAAATTTGCATCTCTAATTCACCATCTGATTATAAAATCTATATATTATGAAATCTGGCTACCTTCTCAACAAATTGCTCATACAGAAGGGCTTCCTACTCTAGCACCACTTATAATAACATCTCCCTCTATTACTATTCCACTTTCTCATTCATATATTATACAAAAATTGCAATAATATACAAATATTGGATGGAAGTCTCTTACATTAATATACGAAGACTAGTAGTCTACGACCTTGCTAGTATAGCCTAGATCGAGAGTAAATTAGCTCTTACCTCTATCTCCCCTTTTTTCTCTTAATTGTATATATGTAATACTGCTTGTATCATTTTATTTGAATTAAATAAAGAGTTAGAGGATAGACCTCGTTGTTTAAAAAAAAAAAAAAAAAAAAAAAAAAAAAAAATTATAGGTCTGACAGTTAATTATAAAAAAAAATAAAAAAAAATTTAACATTTCGAATAGCATATTTTAGATACTATTTGCATGTTAAATTTTTTAATTTTACTTATCTTTTCTATAAAATAATTGTGAATACTTTTTGGATATATATTTACTATTTTTTTTCTATAATTATCAACTGTTTTATAACAAACAGATATATCAGTATTATGTATTATATTAATGGTATCATATAATGCATCTGATACTACAAGATATAACCCAATTTCCAAATGATAATTATTCACAAGTTTATTATGTATTGTTGCTATTGAATAATATATATTATCCAATGCTTTACTATGATCAGCCTTATAAAATAAATCAATAATTTTATGCCAATTTTTGTTACATTGCATATTTTATAGTTACACGCATTTTGTATTTTATGCATTTAATAGTTACATCACATTGTATTTTATTTTATAATTATATAGCAATGTACTATCACTATCTATTTATTAAATACAACATGATCTGCAATTATATAGTAATTATTAATAATCGTAGCGGTAGCATTATTTTTTGAACTCAATTTTGCATGTCGTCGTAGAAATCTTTTTCCACCTAATGTAGGATTTTTTTTGGTCACATTTATATGTAATGGTAAGTTTTTCAGCTTCGTTCTGTCTTTTAAAGGTGATCGAAACTCTTTAAAGGTTGATCGAGACTCAGAATTAATCATTCTATTTGGTTTAGGTACCTTAATAAATAAAAAATAAATAATTTATAATTAAATGTCATAAAAATAATAACCATTACCTGAATTTCGATTTTTTCAGTAGTATTATAGCCACTAGTGATTTCAATAGTATTATGATCGTTAATATCATGGTAATTGTGTTCATTGATAGAATCGTAGTTATTGATAGAATCGTAGTCATTGATAGAATCGTAGTTATTGATAGTATTGTGATCATTAATAATATCATGGTCGTTAATAGTATTGTGATCGTTGATAGTAGTATCATCATATTCGTGATCATAGTCATTCTTAATATTTTTAAATATTTATTATTATACATTAAAATAGTTTATTAAATAAATAAAGCTATACAATATTTACATGTAAATCTTGAGCTTCAGAAAGGTTTACAACATTAATTAGAGATGACAATGTATTTTTTTTTTGTTGTTCACTTGGCTTCGTATAAATCCGATAAGATGATTCACTCTTATGATCGGTAATTGACATAGAAGTAATAACAGGAATACCTTCACGAAATAAAAATGTAATTGGCATCGTTCTTCCAGAGTGATTAACAATATCACGATTCTCAATATTTATTCCCAGTAACAATAATATAAAGTATATTCCTGAATGGAAAAAAATAAGTTTGGAGACTCCAACAAGAGCCTTTATTAAAAAAGTAGTTCAAACGATGTACAAAGCAGAATGGATATAGTTAAGAAAGAAAAATGACGAGGAACACCAAACAAGAATTCAAAAACAGAATTAGAAAGCTTTTAAGAGTATACTTAGAAGCTGCAGCAAGCAATACCAGAATTCTGAAGTAAACTACTTGCAATTGTTCAAAACCAAATGCATTGAAAACCTCCTTCCAACTGTTGAAATCTTAAATCATAGAAGACTTCAACTATACAAAAACAGCTTATGCAAAAGATGCTTTAAGGAAAAAGAAACAATTGGGCATTTGATTACTTGTGAAAAATCTAATCAAATACTAGAGAAAATCGAAGAAGAAGCATAGAAACAGCTCTACGAAGATAAAAGAAAGAAAGAAAATTGGAACTTATCAAGTATATAACAAGCTATCCAATATGAACAAGAAAAAAAACAACAACAAAGAAAAAGATAGATAAGAGGTATCCTTAGTGAAGAAGATACAGAAAAGATCAAAAATGTTGTTGGCTCTGAAATCATGATGACAAAATTCTGGAGTCTGTTCTGACATATATGAATAGAATTATTCTATAAGGAAGTTTGGAGGAGCCGATGCAAAAACATGGAAGCATGGGAGAAAAAAGAAAAGATCTCAAAAAAAGAAAAGTTTTCTCAGAAGGAAAAAAAGAAAAATGATCTAAGAAAAAAAACTGGAAGGAGGAAAAAAAATGCAAAGTAGATGAGAATACAGAAAATTGTAATGTTAGCCTAAAAATAGCATTAGATAGCATAGCTAGAGAAATAAAGGAAGAAATTTCAGATAGTTGGGTTTTAAGTTAGTCATAATGGGCTGTAGCGTTCTTCTTATATTGAGCTGTAGTTTATAAATTATAAATTACTCGAGTAAAAGTTAAAGGTTACTATAGCAGATCACACATAGGTATCATTAGGATAACTGGGTGAGTTAAGGCTTAAAAAATTAGGCATTAGATAGTATAAAACTTGATAATATAGTTTTCTTAATGAAAAACAAATTTAAATAAAGTCACAGCATGACTGCTGAATTGTAAAAAAAAAATTAGCAAACTTCTATATTTAATTTAAATCTAAAGAACATATTCTATGACTAATATTTTAATATTAAAAAAATTTAAAGAACTATAAAATTTTTTTTAAAATATCATACAAAATATATAAATAATATATACATATATACTAATTTATAAAATTGTTAATAACTTTTGATCTATTGATTTATTTAAAATAATTTAACTACCAAAATATTTGTTCTAATAAGATGATTAAAACAAGTCTAAAATTATCAAAATTCAGTTACTGGATTCTGATATTTTTCAAATTTTATACAATTTTAATCAGAATTTTAGTATGTAAACAATTAACTTAAAAATAAGTTGCCTATAGAAATTTATATAAGCAACCCATTTCTAAGTTAATTATCTACATAGTAAAATTCTGATTAAATTGTATAAAATTTGAAAAATATCAGAATCCAGTGATTGGATTTTGATAATTTTAGGCTAATTTTAATCATCTCATTAAGACAAACATTTTGGTAGTTAAATTATTTTAAATAAATCGATAGATCAAAAGTTATTAACAATTCCATAAATCAGCATATATAAAAAAATATCAACCCAACACATCTAAGTTATATGATATACTGTTTATTCGGATGTTTTTTTTTTATTTGGCAAAACTACTATCGAATATACTATACTAGTGATATTAAATGCGGCAAAAAATGAATCCAAAAAATATAGCTTTGTCAGTGTATGATTGCTCTTTCGAAATTTATATAAATTAAAGGTTATATATATATGTTCTTCTTACTACCGGGATTTATTATTATAGGCGTACTTATTTGTAGATCATATAATGCAACACCCATGGAATCAAGTGTATATGAATTCAATGAGACTCAAGCTTTAATAAACATTTACGCTCAGTTAATATGTTTTAAGCTTTAATATCATATATATATCTTATAAAACTTGATCTTGCCTATCAACATACAATCAGCGGAACATGTTAAAAATTATTAAACATTGATCCTAGATGTCTTGAATGGCAAAACTAACGAATAGAAATATTGATATAAATATATACTGTTATTAACGAATAATATTGACACAAAAAAAATTGTTTTAGCTAGAAGAGAGGGACAATAATAATCAAGATCCGGTTTCCTTCCTTTCTGCATCGATGTCTATAGGTAATGGATAGTATGTAAAAATGTTAAATGGCAATGTTCAATCACATGGGACTAGATATTTTTTTATTGGTATATAAGATATGAATATTTTACAGACCTGCCTGAGTTGGTAACATAATTTTTTCTTTAGTTTCGACATGCTTAAGATTTTCCTTAATTTCATCCATTTTATTTTCAATATCTATAAAAATAATGTAAAATGGTAAATAGCAATGCTTTATCACGTGATATTCGTAATATTCTCACATGACTAACCTGCCTGAATTAGGAACTTATTTTTTTCTTGATTTTCTACTTCGATGTCTATAGATAATATTATGTAAATGATGATTTCAATCACGTGATATTCTTAACATTCTCACGTGACTAGTTTTTAAATGTCCTGATATGAAAAGCATAAAACATATCATCATACCTGCCCGAGTTGGTAACATGACTGTTTCTTTAGTTTCGACATGCTTAAGATTTTCCTTAATTTCATCCATTTTATTTTCAATTTCTTTAGCAAAAGGTGGTTGCCTATCTTTATCTACTTCCATATTTTTAAATCGTAAATAGTTGATTCTTTGAAGTACGTTATAAAAAAAACTAGATTAAATATTTAAATGAAAAACATATATATTTATTCATAACGTCAAATTGTACATAATAATAGGCATAAAAAATAAAAATTCAAATACCTTTAAATTTTTGAAATGAAGAGAAAAACGATTGTGAAGCAAAGGAGTTAATTAGCCGACCGATTTTTATGTAAAACCTATCTTTAAAACCGTGTTACCACGTCGATCTACTACTTTAAAAACTATGGGATTATATATGCTTAATGTTTCACCGGTTTTTTATGTACTACGTGACATAAACTTTTCGAAGTATGTAGTACGTACGCAAAGTCTCCCTGTGGCCAGGAAAATTAAAATAAAGCTTCTCCTAAAA